GGAAAATGAGTCCTGATTATCTGATCATATTCGTTGATTCAGGAGGAAGTCATCTGAAAAAAAACTCATGTTATATATGGTAAATTAACAAGCGACTGCGCGTTCAGGATCCCCCTAGGACAGTGCATTTTGATTCATGAGGCTTGAAGCAGGAATGAAGATGAAAATAGAAAATAAATTCTCCAGCGACTGAAGTGTTGTTGATGATTATATGGCATTTTTCTTGACTGAGTTCACTGAACCCGGACCAATTCACTTGATATTATCCAATGGTAAGATATTGCTGGATCGTGTCAGTGTTCCAGAAACCAGCTTTTTAAACAGCGTTTTAAATCGTGTCAGTGTTTTAAACCTTCAGCGCAGATCTCGATGTGATTCCTCAGAGATGTGCATAGGATGACTTCGAGATCTGAATTTTTCGCCAAGACTTGATCTAAGACAACTCATTCCATAGTAAGATAGCGAAAATCATACTCGATTAAATTATCCGAGTGAATGATAGCTTCGTGTTTTTTTCATAACCCGTGAGAATACAACACATCTTGCTGTCAGTACCAAATCCCATGGGCCAATCTTTTTGCATGGAGTTGAAGAATTTCCCAATGATCAGATGCAGTCAGTTGGAAAGGAATAACAAGCATGCAATTTGATGGAAGGGAATTAGACGCGTCTAAAATATCCGCTGTATTCGCCCCATCAAATAAGTCTGCAAGTCATCGTTTGGATGGCGTATTTTTGCTGATTTTGTGACGAGTTAATTTCACAGTTATGCATTATTGAGGAGTTTCTGCTAAAAATACGATAAGAGTGTAGCAAGAAAAAGTACTAAAAGGAATCATAATTAGATGAAAAACATTCATGTGCGGCAAAGAATTGAAATGGGTGAGATTGTGGGATAGTAATTGCTCGTGATGAACATGTTAATTATGGTCAAAAGAGCAATTTTGTGAAAATTTTCATGAGTAAGTAACCTTAGACAAACACTGATGAATGAAATTGGAGCCTTTCCGCTGTCAGTGAAGCTGGCAATCTTTCGAATCATTTTAAAGCGATGAATTTCGCAGATATCTTCGCTGCATACCGATAACTCAGCATATATCGGCTGTCAACATGATTGTTATGATATCGAGTAGCCGTTTTGACTGTTTCTCATCGAGAATCTTGAAGATTCTCAAGAATTGCAAGGGTCACGAGATTTTGCCAATTGTACCGCTAGCAACTTAGGATCACAATTATCCGGATTACCGTCATTGCGGCGAAGTTTTGAAATTTGACGAATTGTCTTTGATATTCTCAAAAACATGATCTCTTCGCAAAATATTCATGGAAACTTGAGCTAAAAACCAAAAAATTGAACAACACAACTAATTTCGAATCAGCACACCTGAATTCAACTGGGTATCCAAGTCTGTATCCACCAAGGTATCGAAGTGCATTCGTTATCCTTATGAAGTATCAGTCATCCCATCGAAAGTGCGCTTCCATAACCTCAACAAAAAATAATCATTAAGCAACAGAAATTTGAATTCAGTTGATAAATATAAAATATGAATAGACAACGTAGCATAAACGCATTGTAAGTAATCAAACCATACTCTATGAACAATGAAATAAAGATTTGCAATGAAGTCGAAGCAGCCGTCAATTTTTTCAATATTTGTTCTATTTGTAGATCAATCACGTACGTTTCATCATGTTTGGAGAGCAATTTTCAGTTCAATCGGTCGATTCTCACCTCCGCAGATAATTTACAGCTAGGAACACATGGAGTAATGATTTGTGTGCTACGGAAACACCTTGCTCCTCAGCATCCTTTCGGAAACTATAATCCAGCTCTAAAATCACAAAAAACAAATGAAATTCAAGGAGTAGTTAGAAATGATTGCACATATGACTTGTCCATCCAGTGTTATTTCTGAGGGCTGAGAAATGACCGCCACAGAATTTGAGCATTTCAAATAAATTAAGCAAATGTTTAAGGGTCGGGCATTCTTGCGTTTTGATCCAGCACTGATGAACGACGAGAGTCTGTTGTCACGAAGTCAGTTTGTGGAGCCGTCGAGATGGCAGTTCGCCGAGTCACCGCTACGATACTTAACGAAGCGTGTCAGCGAGCAACAGTTGAACTCGTTGCTTAAAGGAACATGGCTCGGATGATTATTCATCTGCATGGATTCTCCATTTCAATTTTACTTTTTTTTTAGCTGATCAAAATGCGTGAAAATCTGATGGAATGAAATCTTTCGCATGTTGATTATTGGATCTCACACTCTGCATTCCACTTAACTTCTTGCTTTCGCTCGTTCCTCGGAAATTTTGTATCAAATTTGACTAGACCATATAAAGGTATTCATGACTCTTCTATCACATCTGGAACAGATGGATTCGCTTCCATGCAAATGCAATTGAGCTATTACGCTGCAATACTTCGAATGCCCGTAACTGAGATATTTCGCCCGTAACTGGTCAAAATGATGTGCTTGTTGTACGATCAATGAAATCTGCTCGTAATCTCCTCGTGTACTCTAGTGTGATAACGAGATTTGGAGTTTTTTGAGAGCAAATTATTCGAATGCACTTTGCAACATTGAGGACTTTGAATAATTAAAGTTTTGCATTAAGGATGGAAGATGATCATCAAATATTTATTGAACGCGAAA